TTCTAGCCCGGCGAACAGTAGAACAGTAGCAACTGAAGGGAGAGTGGGGTTCCACCCGGGAAGAAGACAAGTTAGTGAATCTGTGTGATCCAGAAGGAAGATGGAAAGACCCCCAGGAAAGAAGAGCCAGCGGGCAGGTCTGAGAGATTTGAGAGAGGAAGAAACTATCCCATGACTGCCCAGTGCCTAACAAAGGGATGCCATTGCTCCACGGAGACCCGTTTCCTCCTCAGTCCTGCCATCTCACTTCTTTTTGACATGACTCTTCCAGAAGCCTGTATGGCTGGACTGGAAGTTCATAGGATGGTGAGACCTGTGTTCATCATTACAACAGAGAAAACAAGGTTGCATTGCAGGTATCAGGCAAATAGACAATCCAATCAGTATGCTGAAAATAATATGCTTGAATTAGATAGCTTATTCAGCAATTAAATAAATAAAAGTTCATGTCTACATCTGCTGGCTGTCTGTAGCACCCCGATGACTTATGGAAGTTCAAAGAATGATTATGAGGGATATTCCCTGGGCACTTTAAGCCCTTTGTGTATATGCCTTGTCTGTCTGTTTGTCTCATTGTGTGTTCCTTGGTGACCCCTCTTTGCACTTTATTTTTAATTTCCATGAAGGCAGGAAGAGGCAGGCGTCTGATGGTGCAGAGCACCCGAGAAGAGTGCCTTGTGCTCTGGTGAGCTTATTAGGCACTTTCCAGTGATGTGATTACTAACTTGAAAAAGACGTTAAGCATCTTCACCAAACAATGTGTGCCTTTGTGTGGCCAGTAGTTTTTTCATTTTTACTGGGACAGCTGTTCTCTCAAAAACAGTTCTATTATAAATAACTTGCAGTCATTAACAGACTTTCTTTGCCCTTACACTGCCTCTGGGATGAGCTTGACTAAATGCTACGGTGTGTATCATCAAGCAGGTGAACCTCCTTTTTTACACAATTGTGTGTTCCTTACTATAGGAAAGCAACATTTTGAAAATAAAACACCATCCTAAATGTGCTAGATGATTTTCCAAAGTAAAGGGTACTTTAAATGCAAAAAAACAAAACAAAACAAAAAAAAACACTTTTCGTGTGTCTTGTTTTAGGCATAACGGGTGCATGAGTGTTTTCCATTTTTTATTCCAAATAATACATATTAATCACAAGAATGGAAACCCAACCATGAGTCGAATTTGTATTAGTATCCTTTCCATTCCTCCCCGCACCCTGCAGCGTGAGGCTTTTAGACACCAGACTCACCCAAGTACCCTTGTAAGGTAGCTGTTCTCAAAGTAAGGCCCGGGCACCCCGGGGGTCCAGGACACTTGTTTCTGGGGATCTGTGAGGTCAAAAACATTTTCGTAAAAATACCAAGATGTTATACTGTCATTCTTTTGTGAACATATAGTACAGTGGAGTTTTCTAGCGGCTACATGACATATCACAAGCGTTTGAATTTAGAAGCAAATGTGAAAATCCAGCTGTCCTCTATTACACTAGACCTTAGAGAGCTGTTGGAAAATGTAAAACTATGCTTTCCTTCTCAAAAACTTCTGTTTTGGAAAATATAGTCATTTCATAAAAATGTTATTTATATTATTATTTAATGGGTTTGTTATTGCTATTTTAAAATGAATTAATGAATACTTTAAAATTTCTGATTATTTCTAATATGATAAATATTGCTTAATATAACCCATATAAACAACAGTCCTTGAGGTTCTCAGTAATTATTATTTTTTATTTATTTATTTACTTATTTATTTTTGAGACAGAGTCTTGCTCTTGTCACCAGGCTGGAGTACAGTGGGCGCCATCTTGGCTCACTGCAACCTCCACCTCCTGGGTTCAAGCACCTCCCCTGCCTCAGCCTCCCAAGTACCTGGGACTACAGGTGCATGCCACCACACCTGGCTAATTTTTTGTATTTTAGTAGAGACGGGTTTCACCATGTGGGCCAGGATGGTCTCCATCTCCTGACTTCGTGATCTGCCCGCCTCAGCCTCGCAAAGTGCTGGGATTACAGGTGTGAGCCACCATGCCTGGCCAGTTCTCAGTAATTTTTAAGAGTGAAAGAGTTCCTAAGGCCAAAATGTTAGAGAGCCACTGCTCAGAAATACAGTACCATATGCAGTAAAACTCTCCCAGCTTGTTACTGAGATTGGGAAGCTTTCTAACAAAGAGTAAAAGGATGTGTAAAAGTTGCCTAATCATGTAACTTAGGCCCATTTCTACTTTTATTTGTGGATGTGCAGGAAAAAGGTGAAGGACTACGTTGAAACCACAGAATCTTATGAAAAACATAACTTAAAGGCCCTCAACTTTGGGGGAGGAGAACCAACCATGATTGCAAACCTTTCCTTTGTGGGGACACCCAAGCACACTTTGTTTTCTCTCCCTGCTGGTACTTGACAATTGTGCTGTGATTGGCGGGTCTGTGAGATCCCACAGGTCACCCTTCATGTCTTCATGCAGCCAACGAGTATGTGTTTCCTGAGCACCTTCATGGGGCCTGGGCTGGTAGAAATTCAAACCCAGTCGCTGTCCTCAGGAAGCCAAAAGGCTTGTACCAGGAAACAGTCAGCAAACACATAAGCATTAAGTGAACAGAATCATTACTGATTTTGGAAAGTGATGCAAAGGAAATGAATGGGGTGATATGACACAGTACTTTGGAAGATCTGAAAGTAAATTCATACAAGATACCTGGCAAAGGCTTTTCTAAGGAGGCTTCATTTGAGCGGAGATGGGGGTAGGGGGTTGGAAGAAAGGAGAAGGGGAAGAGTGGTTCCAGCAGAGGGACCTGCAGAGGCCCTGCGGAAGGGCATGGCTTGCTGGCAGTGTGGTGACCACCAGAGTGGGTGAGCGATGATGGGTATGGAGACATTGATGGACAAAGGCTGGATTTTACAGAGCATTGTAGGCGCTGGTGAAGAATTTCAGTTTCAATCCAGGAGTGATGGGAAGTGATCTGAGGGCTTTTTAGCAAACAGTGGATTCATCCATTTCTGCTGTGTGAAGACCAGCCTGGTGACTGGGTAGGGAATGAACTAGGGGAGAGAGGCAACTGGTGGGTAGGCAGGAGAGGAGGCAGAGAGTGCCCAGGAGGCTCTGGACATCATCAGGTGAGAATCCATGGTGTGCAAGGGTGACCGACAGAATGGACAGGTTTGAGATCTAATTTGGGGTAGAACAGACCAGACTCACTGATGAACCAAGGGTGGGGATGAGGCAAGGAGAGTGAAGAAGCATGACCTCTGTTTTTTTATTAGAGCTGCTTTTGTTTTCTCAAATCATTGCAACAAAACTCTGCAAGGTAGTTAGCATCATACCTATTATTTAGAGATGAGGAGACCAAAGCGCCAATAACGTGCTCATGGGTCAACAGGGCCCTGCACAACATCAAAGCAAGTCAGCAATTAACTGCAGCTGCCCCGCTCCATCTGTGGCTTCCTTTCCCTGGTGGCACGCTCCAGCTTACTACTCCGGTCCAGGCAGTGACACCAGGTGAGGGCCCGGAAGCAAGGCTCCTCTCCCTCCAGCAAGTCAGGGCTCTTCTGGTGTGAGCCAAGTCACTGTGCCTCGTCTTCTGTGTCTGAGAAATGGGTCCAGAGGCATCTGCTGGCCATCAGCCCAAGTGGGATTTTATTGGAACTGGTTTTTTCACGTCTCAGGTGTGTCTTAGCTCCCTGAGAAAGGGAGCATTATTCTTCAGGCCCCATGACACGTCTCAGCAGGGGACGTGGGAGTCTTCCTTGGAGACAGTTAAACCTTTGTAAAATGAAGCCTTTGTAAAATGGTGAAGGCTCTGGAAGCAATTGTGAGAATTTTAAACGTGGACGATTTTCGTTGAGAACAAGGGTACCTGTGCATTGCATTCAGGCAATGGGGCAATCATTTATTTAAAAACAAAGTTTTTAGAAAAGCTGTCAGGCTTACTCAGTGGGACAGAGGCTGAAGGAGGAGAGAAGCAAGGCAGCAAGAATCAAAATTCTTAAATGTTATCTTTTCTCACTTCCCAGGTATAATCTGGCAGCTCTCTGCTTTCTTCACACACAACTCGGCACAGCTTCAGAGGTCTAGGCAGGTATGGAACATCAGATACAGATCCATAGTAACCAGTGACAATCAGCCCAGCCATATCATCTCTGAAATACCTGCAGCATCTATATAGCTGAGGGGATGGCATGAAGCTGACTGCTTCTCTTCCTCCCAGTTAGTTAGGCAGCCCTTCAACAAATAACTTTCTGCTTTTGGAATTGAAAATGCATTTGGGGAATGATTATCTGCTTTCTCACCTGTAGGGCAGCCTCTCTCCTTATAACCCCTAGCTACTTTGCATACTCACGGATATATCCTGCCATTTAAATTTTTATATTTTATTCATATGTGGAGTATTTTTCCTGCAACTTTGTAAAGCACTAAATATTATATGAACATTATTCAAAACATGTCCTTTCCATAAAGTCCGTTTATATGCCATCATTATCTGCAGCATTAAATACATTTTATATCATCAGAAATTTTATGATATATTTAAAAATGAATTTCTACTTAGCCAAAACACATTAGGGATTATCCTAAGAGACCTTGCTAAAAATGCAGTCATGTTTATTTGTAACTGCCAGAAAATAGCTTGCAAAATTGTTAGTGTCTTTTATTATTCCCTACCACTGGAGCACTTGCTTGTTAATTAGAGAAATTTCAACTGTCATAGTTGGCAATTATAGCTTCTGTATCATTGTCTGTTATGAATAGTCAATGAGAGCTGATTAATATGCATGAGCAGCAGTATATATAGCGTGTGCATTGGACCACAATCCAGCTGCCAGAGTCACTCAGAGGAGGGAGTGGTGTGCGTGTATGTCTGTGTGTATGTGTGTGTGTGTGTGCACGCGCGTGCATGCATGCATGCTGCGAGGCGAGGAAGGGAAGCGTGGAAGCGGGGAGAGAGTTGTTGTCTAGCCTCTGAGAGCAGCGCCAATGTGAAGCTTTGCAGCCGCCTGACTCACCTGAGGCTCTCCAAGGATACCTTCAATGCCTGCACTGTAAGGGAGCTGCTTTTCCCGGGTGCTGGCGAGGACGGAAGCCTTCCTTTGACGTTTTTCTAAACATGGGATGCAGTTTGTGCAGCCTGCAGAAGCAAGAGGAGCAGTACAAATTACTCTATGAAGTTTGTCAGGTAACACCCTGCCTTTTATTCCGTAGAAGTGCATAGGCACCCAACTGGCCAAGTGTAACTTCTGGGAAAGGTATTGGGGATTTGTGTGTGTGTGTTTGTGCATATTTTGTGTTCTGAAAGAGGAAGCCTTTCTGACTTTTTTGTGTATTTTCTTTTAAGTCTGTTATAAAATTTTCCATCCAGTGGCACTTTGGTGCCTGCCTTTGGAAATATAAATATATGTTGATGGTCATAAAATGTGTTTCAAGCAGTCTTGTCAAAAGGCTTCGTCACAACTGACCTCTCTCCAGAGTGTCGAACTCGAAGGGTCAAAGAGTGGTCATGCACGCTTTGAACAAGTTGGAGAAGACGTGGATGATGATTAATGCTTGCAAGGTTTTGTCTGTGTTTACAAATAGTTACAAGGCGCTCCTTTCAGTACAGCCCAAGCCCTCTGCTGATTTGGTTCTTTTAGCAATTCTTGTAGTGGGACATATGGTTCAAATTGGTACTTCTCACTTGCCATTTCTGTACCTCTCTCTGAAATTTTTAAGAACTTCAAAAGCAAGTGACTCGATCTTGGGTGCTGTCATTCACATCGGATGACTTGTATCTTCTAAGTCATTGTGAGCAACATGAAAATTTCAGTTGAGGTGAAATGGGATATTTACGATACAACCCAGATAATTTATCTTACGTCTCTGTCAAATGTTCTATTTTTAAATATTCAAGTCCTACTCTCAACTAGGAGGTTTTAATACTGCTGTTGGTAACCTACCTTGGCAGGTAAGGATTTTCTCCGAAAATCATTCTTTAAATTTGTCTTCAGTAATAAAAATAATAATAATCCAGCTAAGGCTTTCTTTTAGATAAGCACTTTAGAAGAAGGTTGTTATAGCAAGTGAGAAACAAAGGGTGTGTGTTTCTTGATTTATAACAATCAATGGCATCATAATTTTTAAAGAGCCAGACTTTTTAAAAAAGAATTTGATTCTCCATCAGTTGAGTGTCATTTTTTGCTTAAGCCACCAGGGGGTGATATGCTTAAAGAGACACAGTGAGACGCGGCAAAAAGTGGGTTGGCTGCCTCTCTGGGCAAAACCTAAAGATAAAATGACCCTGGGTGAACAAAAAGTGTCTCTCTCTCTGTCTGCCTTCCCCACTGAGACAGAGAGAGAGAGTCAAAACAAACCTTTTGAGGCTTGGTACTCTCCTTAGGCAAGGGGTATATATCTTACAAAAAACAAGCATCTTAAATGAGTCTTGGGAATAAATACATTTCCGACCTGTGACTTCACACTCAGGACTTCACTGGACTCAAGTCCTTTTCAAAGCATTTGGGAGACATGTTGGAGATCTTGGGCAGAAGCGCTGTCGCTACTGGCGATCTAGCCCCCATCCCTTGTGTGATCATGTGGTGAGTTGTAGTCCTCAGTTTGCCAAGTTATCCCACTCAGTGAGCTGGGGAATTCTCCGTGAGTCCAGCACATAAGCAGGAGACAAGTGGAACAGCAGACGCCGTCATTCGGGCAAGGTGGTTGTGTTACAGACTTTTGCCGCTATATTTGAAATAGCCCAACATAGTAAGTCAAAAGGTAGTTTTTTAAATTTGCCTTTTAAAAATGTTTTGCTTTTTACCATTAATGCACAGAAAATATAATTCAGCAATCACAGCTGTGGATGTATTACACTGGCACCCTCCAAAAAGTAACTCGACCACATCTCTGTCAAATCTAAGTGAACCTGTCTTTTATTCTTCTGTATTATTTGTGCTCAATCCCCCCAACCCCTCCCACAAACACACACAACTGCCCCCAAAAGAGGGAGCCTGGATTCTGTTGTTTGTTTTTTACTAGGTGAATTTATGTGGAAATATTTCTGGCTGAAGCATCGCTCAGTAAATTGCTGATAAATGACTTCCATCTGGAATATACTTGGTCAGCAATTTAGGAAGCCATGCAGATTTATTTTCAAGAAACTCAAACTACTTTTCAGACCCATTACCCTTGTGCCAACTAAGTAAAATCCCCCTTGCTCCTATTCTTTGTGAGTCCTGAACCGTAGCATAAAGGAATTCACAAAACACTTGCAGGAATTAATAATTGCATTCTCGCTCTTATTATGCAAAGCCTTATTAGAGCAGAGAAATTAAGGTTTCCATAAATTACAGTTCCAGAAGGTCCGGTGCGTCTGGCTTCAGTAAGCCCTGGTAACAGCAGCACAAAGAGGATCAAATATTCCAGGGCTCAGACTTTATCCTTTCCTCATCCAGAGATAATTCAAAGAGATGCTCTTCATTAGGGCCATTGGCAAGCTGCCTACAGTTTCTTTTTGGGGGCTGCTGTGAGCTTAATGATGCAGAACAATAGCTTTGCCTCTTGTTGCACACATACCTCATTGTACCTTTAATCACATTAGAAAAACAACAACAACACATAAAGTTGCCTGGTCATTAAGGGGCATTGCAAAGAGTGCAGACACATCAGTGATTGGGGTCATGCATTAAAAGATGCACCAAGACATTTAGGGACACTCAAACACTTCTATGGGGAGGAAGCTTCCTGCCTACCTGGAGTTGTAAGGTCAGGTCAGTCAAGTACAGTGGTTCTTTATACTTTTATGATAACTGTGGTGTCCAGGTGGTGGGGGTTGTGGGGCAGTGTGAAACATCAACACAGGGCCTCTGCCTACCAGAAATTTGAAATTTAACAGTTGCTTCTTGATTTGGAAAACTTTAGCCTGTCTTGAGTAACCTTGAGTACTCACAAGCACTATTAGGGTGAAAGGACAAGGAAGCAAGGAAGATGCTTTAAGGTTATCAAGGAGTACAGTCTCCTGCTTGGATAAATTAATTGGCACAGGAGAGCTCATGTTCTAGGAGTAATGGGATAGGGAGCCTCACAGCTCTTGGGCTGTGGCTGGAATCCAGCTAAGGGTGGTTACCAGGTGTTGGGGCCAGGGAGTGGGAGTTGGGGGTGTAAGGATGGGAAGGTCTGTGGCTCTGTGGGTTTTGATGCCAATGACTCCAGCACAGGCTAAGCACCAGCCTTGTTTGTAGCCGTGTACTGTGAGGTCAACGGGACAGCCAGTCTGTGGATGCTTTGAGGAGGGTCTTCCAATGGAGGCCAGGAAGAGGGGAACAGAGTGGCACCTCAGCCAGTATCATTTATTCCCTCCACCTCTTCTAACATTGACCAGAGACTCTTTGTAAAATGGTGACCTTTGCTAATTTGATGAGGCAACAAGGAAATAATTGTGATTGGGAGTTAAGCTTCAAACTAGAAATTATGACTAGCACAGTGTCCTAAAGTCTGCATGCACATTTTCAAGATAAGGAATACGTATCTATAGTCACAGGACTATTCATTGCCGACAGCCACAGCATTATTTATTGTGCACTTACTATGTGCTGGCACAATGCTAAGTGTCCACTGTGCGTTTTCCCATCAGATCTGCACACAAGCATGAAGAGATAGGTGATACTGTCATCCCTATTTCAAAGAGAAGAAACTGACATACAGAGGAATTATAGTGGGACTGGGAGTCAGATCTGCACTATAATTCCCACATCTGCGAATTCTTTTCTTGCATAACTCATTTTCCAGCAGTGTCAATGAATGAATCATGACCAACTTTATAGGATACCTGTGGGCCAGTTTTCAAAAATCATGCTTGCCTCTGTGGGGCTAACATAAAGACCCTGCAGTCTCAGACAGGCCCAGGTGCTACATGGTACCTCCTGAGAAGGGTTCCTACGGGCTGGCTGGTCCTTCATACCAAGGGAGGGTGGTGTGCAGAGAAAAATGAGCCCCAGAGTAGCACGGAGTTCCCACTGGCTTATCAGGCAGCCTGAAGAATGGATGATTTGAGAATGCTCATGTCCTTTTGCCTCTCAGTAATAACAGGAAATATCACTTAAGATTAATTTGTGCCTCTTATGCCACTTGAAGTTGTTAGTTTTGAGAAGCAAAAACTTTATCACTAACTCTGACTTGCCGGAAAAAACTATAGATCTGATACAGATTTGTGACCCTTTATACATCAATCTCGTAGCCAGTTGGATAGAAAAACACAGATTTCTACAGTAAATACTAATCAGAATCCAGTTTATGGGGAATTCTGGAAACTTGACTTTGCACAATCCTGCTTGCATATTTAATTAGCTAGATGCAGTACTCAGATGAGTTGTCTGCTATAGAACACAGAAACTGCATCAGCTGAGAGTCAGATGGGTCACGGTTCGATTAAGTATGGACCCAATTAATGACGGTTAATTGGATGAACATAAACTTGACCTCCACACAGCAGTTTTGAACCTGGCAAAATTTTCCTGCAAGTAGGAGTGTGTTTGCTTAAATAGCCTATTAATTCTAAAAGCTTCGTTTTAGAAGCAGCTTTACATTCTGAATTCATGTAGGCAAAGTAGGTATGGAAAAAGAAAGCTCATCTCGGCCGGGCATGGAGGCTCACGCCCTGTAATCCCAGCACTTTGGGAGGCTGAGGTGGCAGGGTTGCTTGAGCCCAGGAGTTCAGGAATGGCCTGGGCAACTTGATGAGATCCCATCTCTATAAAAGAAAAAGAGAAAGAAATTTAACTTAGCCAGCCATGATGGTGCATGCCTGTAGTCCCAGCTACTCAGGAGGCTGAGGTGAGAGGATCACTTGAGCTTAGGAGTTGGAGGCTGTAGTGAACTATGCTGGCACCACTGCATTCCAGCCTGGGTGACAGTGACAAGAGCAAGACACCTTCTCGTTGGGGGGACGGGGGGGAAGCCCATCTTCTCCTCCTCCCACCTTGACAAACCAGGGCCCTTTATTGAATATGGGGCCAGCATATGGCTGAGAAAGTCACTTTTTAATATGTGGCCATTATTTGTCACTAACTGTTGTTTTCTTGTCAATTAACAATGGATTATAAACCACTTTTATGTTGATTCTGGAAAGGAATGACCAAGGGTGGGACCAGAGATTTC